CTGTATAACTAGTGTCATTTATAAGCATTATTTCCTGCTAGATTTCGGCAGAGACCTTTTGTTTTTTAAGTTCTAATGATTTCGGCAACCAACCACATACTAATATCGCCTATGATTGTTTCGTTACGGCACGGAAATCTTACAATCAAATCAATAATTCATAACGTTAATCATTTTCTAAACTAACTAGTAAATGGCAGCTTAAAACACAAGGCACGTGAATAGTTACTGAAATCGATAGCGATAACTTACGTATTTGCACTGTTCAATGTAACTTAGCATACGTCTTCCGAAAAAATACAGCAGAAAAACAAGTCCACCATTGTTCGTGTGTTTGTTTGTTGTGTCGCTTCTCCTGCTCTAGAAAGTGATTTGTAACACGAGTTCTGATTGGTTGCAGATACTACGAGACTTGAACGCGACTTGTATAGGTTGTTGGTCAGATCCTTGTGGGCTTTCGCGATTACCAAAACTTAAAAAAATACCAGCAAATAAACTTTTAAACAAATAATAGAATATATGAAAAAAATATGAATGATATTATTTTAACAAAAAAAACAAAAACAAAAAAAAGCCCAAACTAGGATCTTATTTTAATCAGATTGCGCTTAAAATAAGCTTCCCTCAAATTATACCTATACCGAGCCTTGTTACAAAGGTTTAAACTTAAACTTATATCTCATAGAAGATGAGTTAGCTATACCAAACTGTCACGTCGATCGCAGTTTTCAGCCATACACAATTTACATTACATTAACCTGACCAATAACGGTGAATTGAATTCGTGTGTTTTCGTAAAAATATACCACTACCTATAATGACATAGTTAATCAAAACCAGCAATATGTAACATGTTATAAACACAGTCGTTATTTTAGTATTACCATGTTTTGAAACAGCTGTGAATTCATTAATAACTAAATACGTATTTGAGTGCGCATTTATCAACACATTATCATTCGAGATCGTTAAAGTTTATGTATCAAAATTAAAATCAGAACCGTTGCTCCGAACACTAGGGCTATAACGCTATAATTCTATCATAAACTAACGACCATAAACACTATACACATGGGTTATTTCTTCACTCTAGTGACATCGAACACTAGTTGTTATTCTAATGAAATAAACAGTTAAAAATATAGAACATTGTATAATATGTTTGCGTATCCTCGTAAGCACGTTTAACGTTGATGAATAACACATAACCATTATTTAATATTGACATTTTCTCTCATATAAAACACAATCTACATTAGATATACCATTGACATTGAATTGGTGTCACGGTTACTTAATTAAAATGGTATTTAAGTTAGGTCGAAATAAAGGATTATCATTACTATTTGTGTGTTATCTACGGATCAATGAGTCTGTGGATGTAATTATATACGCGTATCCGCAACCATATTATATAGCATTACGATATTTGTGTCATTTTTATTCACGTTATTTTTAATATTCAGTCGCTGTATTTGTAGGATAATTCTGAGTGAACACAATTTAAACTACAATAACGTGGTTGTGTCAACCCCCACGATATATATATATATATATGCATGGAATAATAATCAATGCTCATTACTGAATAATCCGATCAAACCATCGCATACGGTTAGAGCGACTGACATTGGTTCATTTGGGTAGAGGGGAGCTGCATGTCAATCTGCGATAATGTAACTGAAATTAACTCCATGACACAGTAGGAATATCATGCACATTTCCACTGTTTTATTCATATAACACGTATACTGGATATAAATCATGCCGTCGGATTTCATGAGTTTGTGTGATGATGAATATTTATTAAATTAGTAAAACATTGCTTGTACCCGTTTATGTGTCACTAGATATAATGAAGAAGTATTACAATAAACTACAATAAAATAGCTTGCATGTAGGTAAACATCTCCACATTGACAGCTGATTTGTGTAAACAAATAGTCTTAAAACACATAACAGTTACATTTTCAAAGTTCAGTCAGGAGTACATCGTCGTATTTAAGACATTATGCAGAACAGCACACTCATCTCAGAATTGACATTGAAAGAAAGTGACCAGAAATAATCACCGTAAAAACATAGTTATCTCATTAAACTCGGGCAAAAAAATACAGGGCTAATTTTAATGAGACCATTTTTACATTATATAATAGGACCAGAGTGAAAATTATATTTACAAGTACTTGCCTGTATGTATGTATGTATGCATACAATCATGGCTTGGAAATATTGTGCAAGCTAGCACTCTCCCAGTGAAAACTCCACATAGAAAGCCACCATGTTATTATACTCACCCCATCCGTCAAAATGTTCCAATACGCCCATGGCAAAGTGAAATAAGTAATAATATCTAGCCAATATACAGCAAACAAATGATTATATATTATCACAGAGAAGCTATTTGGATAGCCGAACTCATCTCCTATTACTCACCTCAAATATTTTTGAACTTCACTGTAACCATGGTATCTGGATCTCAGTGGACGCGATGACGGAAGAGAATTGCCACATTATTTCAGGAGCTGAATCACGACTAACGGCGTCTATTTTGCTCCTAGCGAATATATTGGAGACTATTTTTGTATTATGCAATGTCTATCGATTCATTTGAACATTTGTACGAATTTCAAATATGCATTGTTAATACGTTTAACCTTTGCAATACGCCATATGATAATATACACATATTAAGTAAGGCTGGAAAATGAATGGCAAAGCACACTCGTTATCATAGGGTAATCGGTCTGTTTTAACCAAGCTTATTTAGATATTTTACATCATCGATACATAAAGTGGATAGTCTGCATAATATAGGTTAAGAATGAGATTTTTATATATTTACAGGCGTACAATGAGAATAAAGGTGTTGTATGCTGGGCTTTTAACGTCTACCGTTGTTGTTATGTATAACTGGTTAACATCGATAAGTTTAAATATTATGCCACGTAACGCTGCACACATTAACGGCACCATGTGGCTTTCTGAAAACCAGGCTTACCACGAAGGATTGACAGGATCGAACATATCTGAATATAACAATAATATCATGGATGAGAACACTGTCTCTAGGATTGTTGATGTCTATTCAGAATCGCCTAAGGTAACACAGTATTGTCTATGAAGCGTGTGTTCTCCGTTTTAGCGGTTGTAAAGTGTATTAGTCAGTTCACCACAATACTATTCAAGATATTTTTTGAGCAGCGCGTTGGATTACAAATGCACTCGCCGTAGTTAAGAGTATCTAGTGTTTCGTGTTTATATGTTCTCATAAGTGCCAGTAATTTATATATTTCACAAACTATTGATTGTTGGATCATGTGTAATTTACAGCATCACCAGTATATACCATGATTCAAAACCCAATCATTGGTTCGAAAAATCTAAACTATAATTATTTTTCTTCATTTATAATAGCACTATATGAACGCTGATGATGAACACACGTATGGGTCTATAAGTTCATCAATGAATTTGACAAAGAGACATTGGAAAGAAATTACAGTGCCAACATATACGGAACGATGCACAAATAATGAATTCCATAACGTGTCGTACGTTATTCCACATTTTGCGTTTGGCCCCGGTCCAAACACTGCCTACAAAAAAATTCGATGGACTGTTGCATTTGCCCTATACTATCACATGGGTACTGTTGCAATACCAACTTTGGACCACAGGACACAATCATTAGAGTATGTGAACACCTCAAGGACATTTGAGGAAACATTTGATTTGGATCGTCTTCGCGAGCTTATCCCCGTTATCTCACCAGCAAGCGTCGAATGTATGTGTAAAGGCAGTCTTAGAAAAAAACTCATATCAATGAAAGTCCGGAATACATTCACCGATGTTCTGAAGAAGTACCCTTTGATAAAGAATCTCGATTGTGAGTAAAATAACATATTGTATAATATATATATATATATATTATATTTAACAGATGCAGTATGCGAGAGTATAGTTGTTCATTTATGCAGAAGAACGTATGACACAATATTACCGTGTGCAATAAAGCGAGTATAATACATACATGTTTTATTGTAGTTATACAATTGCACAGCTTGTATGCGTCATTGGTGACTACGCCAAAAAATCGTTTCACTCCGCTCAATTCCGAAACGCGATAATTGTTTTTGGCAAAAAAAAACAACAACAAAAAACAAAAAAACAACAATAATAATAATACTGTGAGGTTCGCATTTCAACAGTCTTGGTTGATTCAAATTGTATCTTGGAACTTTGTGCGAACTGAGAAAATTTTACATTCACTCGTATATTTTGACTCAGTAATTCGACAAAATATATATATTCTTATTCCATAACAATACCGAGCACGCTTTATAAAGTACGTGTACTGTACTTTAGTTACAGTTCTCGGCCGCTACTTAATACGCTCGTTGTCTTTTAATTGTTTGTGGTGATTATGTTGCACATATAATAATATGGAATCAATATTGCGCCACGTAATCGAAAATAATATGATACGTTCAAAGCATGAACAGGTCTCATTTCTTTTGATATACTGATTTAGTTCACTATAGCCGGGCCGAGAAAATGTCACGGACAAACTCATGTTGGTTAAATTGTCAAGAATTGTAGTAGAAATTGTACAGTGTGTGCATATGCATGAAATAAAGTTGCTGTTTAATAATATACATATAAATATACTTTTACGAATCTGCATATCTATTTATACCTGCTCAGGGCAAAATTGCACATGTCAAACAACGATTTGCCGCATTTGTTTGACATAATATATCCAATGACGTCATGTGGCTTGTTTCTCTGTCGACTTATTTACTATAAACTGATGCAGATAGGTTACCCGTTTATAACCAATTGCTGAACATTTCGATGTCAAGAAAAATAATCAGTATACAACACATGGATGTCAACATGATACCCAAGAGCCGCCCATGCATCGGACTTATTCCTTATGAAATGGATGTGGAAAAAATGTCTGCTGTCAATGAGCTGGTTGATAGATACTTAATCCGTGCACGATACATTCGAAACATGGCAGAGAACTCGATTAATAATATTTGTAATGGGCATTTTGCTGTCATGCACTGGAGGAATAAAACAGGAGAAAGGTTTGTTATACATTAACGTTAATGAAATAATTCCGATGCGTTGTATCTGTTTAACAAAAAACTGTTTGTTAAACACACATAAAACGTACACGACTTTTTTTTCTTCAGGTGCTATATATTCGATTGCCCGAAAAACCAAAGAGATACTTTGGAAAGTTTAGTGAATCACGCTGTCCCGGAAATAGTTGATGGTGTCACCAATATAATGATATCTCACAATATAACCTGTCTTTATATCGCGAAGCCGAAATATGAACAAGTGCGTATATACATTCACAAAAATGCTACATAAACACAATTATCAATCACAAATGTATAAAAATTTCTAAACACTTGAAAATTGTTATTACAAAATGTTCTACTTTCTTAGCAAATAAGTGATATTGCTCATTGCTGTATACCACGTTTGGCATCACTCTATTCGTCCTTGCTGACCTATCGAAGTCATTGCCGTTATTTTATTCGTTTCAGAGCATCGTCAGTCGTTTTCATGAGACGTCCTTGGACATATATACAATTGAAAGCATCTTTAAATTGAATGCAGAAATAAATAGTTATAAGAAGGACAACTATGTGTTATCACTCGTGGAACAAGAAATATCTGAACGTGAGTGTCATTTTGTTTATAAAAAAAAACTAAGTACCTGATGTGCCTGGTTATAATCAGTATATTTCCCGAGGAGGTTTTGACTGATTTTGTGGATAACTCAAACGCCCGAAGCTCTGGTGGACATATGTTATTGACCGAATGAAGCCAGGATATATATGCATAAAACGTTAAATCGAAATTATGATATCCTACGGGACTGCCAAATATGATGCAATAGTTTCGCAATAGAGTTAAAGCTAAGGATTTATAAGACATTTGATGGTGTTCGTTGTCTGTTGTGAATCCTTATCTGATACTAAATCAGCCAATAACCTGCCTTATATTGTATAAAACGCTAACGTTCTTCAACGTATATGCGTTTGGATCTAAGAGTAGTATTCTGAACTTTTCTAAAAGTAACGGCAATTTGAGAATGTTATGCGGATGATAGAATAATTCTATATTGTCCCACGTGCCAATGTAATGACAAATCATTGCTCAGACTATGCAAATAATGTATAATAACGGTTTGTCATCAAGTACGTTGTTTCTTTTCCAGGCATTGCTATCTGTTTTTGGTATTATTAACTGTCATACAGTGTGTATGTTGTAAAGGTGTCTGTAGATGTGACAACTAGCCACTTTGTAGTACAATGTGTGCTACGAACACGTACTTTAGGCTAACTTTAGAGAATTGAAAAGACATTACTAAATAACATTGAGTGGTCATATCTTAAATAAATACTATACATTTTGTAAAGGGGAATAAAGTTGCAAATAGTATGTAAAGTGATTTACACATCTACATACAATGCTATTGAAATAGACTGGCACTTTATTAATTATTACACGGTTTTCGTTACGTTTCAGGCGTTCCCTTATTTATCAGTTCAAGGTCTTCCAATTGGTCATTTTATGTTGAATATACCCGATCTTTGCGACTTATGAAAACTATAGGACTCGACGAAATACCATATTTGTCTCAAGAACTACTCAATCATCGTCTACAACTTATAAAGTAAAGCTGGTAGAGCATGACTGCTGATTGATACTACTGAAAGACATAGAATCGTTTATAACACGCCTGGCGAGCAGATTATCGTATTATAGATTATCGTCTGAAAAACGAAACAACAGGCGCAAATTAAATAAATCACGATAGCTGGGAAAAACATACCAATATTGAATTGCATGTGATAGAAGCTTATCGAATTTGAATTACATATGTTTATGATAGATATGATTTTTTTGTCATAATACTTGTCCAAAATACAACACACATATGTTAGTGGTCGGCCATGTAAACTGTATTATTGCTAGTGTCTCTATTTGAAACGCATGTAGATTGGGAATTACGACATATAACTGTTAAGCTTTAGTTAAGTTTTTTGTTGAAAGAG